TGGTCAAAGGCTGTGTTTTTTTCCCCCTGGAAAGAGAAACAGAATCTTTGAACCGGGGACACCCACTACAATGGAGAGTAAGACACCATTCTGAAGACAGAGGACTAAGTCTGTCCATAGATATTGCTAAAATTGTAGTCTTCTTCCTCATTTGGCCCCCTGGACACAGGCAAGAGCCTGGAAGATATTTTTGTGGAGAATCTGAAGAGACAGAAAGAAGCTGACAGGGTGCCTTAGGAAATGGCCCAGACAGGTACATCTGCAGTGAACACCACAGTTGGCAAGCCCCAACTACTGACATTTGAGCAGGTGGGAAAATATCACCAGATAGCACAGAAAAGCTTTGACATGAAAGCCAAAATCCCAAACAAAAAGTAGCCTGAAGCAAACCATGACTTCAGGGAAAGAAAACCTGAAAACTCAGGAACGTCCTCAGAGAGATAAGGAGAAGCACAAGAGCTACGAAACAAAACCAGGATGTGCGAAGGCTGAAACAGAGCGAGCAAGAGGACACTCTTGGGGACACAGAGAACAACTCAAAAGCTCAGCCAGAATAAAGTTAAGAACATCCTCCAGAAAGAAAGTGGACAACTACGCAAAATCAGAGTGTCCATCCAGAAGGTCCAACAGTTGAATTCTACATAGAGAAAGTGAATGGAAAGAAATCAAAGCAACAGGGGTGCCTGGGTGGCTCAGTCGTTAAGCGTCTGCCTTCGGCTCAGGTCATGATCCCAGGGTCCTGGGATCGAGCCCCACATCGGGCTCCCTGCTCAGCGGGGAGCCTGCTTCTCTCTCTCCCACTCCCCCTGCTTATGTTCTCTCTCGCGCTGTGTCTCTCTCTGTCAAATAAATAAATAAAATCTTAAAAAAAAAAAAATCAAAGCAACAAATCAAGAAAAATGCCCAGCATCGAAGAACAGGAGTTTCTAAATAAAGGGGCCTCAAGAGTAGGCAAGACACTGGATGAAAACAGCCTCCAAGGAACATCACTGCACTGGGTGTTTTGGAATTTCAGGGAGAAAAATCCTTTAAGCTTCAGAGAAGAAATAGCCACATATACAGGCTGAAGAATCAGAATGTCTGAAGCCTTCAACAATAACCCTGAAGACAGAAGTCTGAGCAAAATGGTGTCTAACTCTCACTCAGACACATGGGTAGAAACAAAGCACTTTCAGACATACGTGTTCTCAAAACTTTATCTCCCCACATCTGTCCCCAGGCAACTCCTTAAGGAAGCACTCCATCACAAAGAGGGGTAATAAGTCAAGAGAGAGGGAGACAGGGTTCCAGGAAACCAAGGACCCGACACAAGGGGGCGGTGGGAACTGCAGGAAGAATCCAGCAGGTGGGAGCCTGGGGGATATTTATTCCAGATGAGATTAACAAAATACTGAATTTCATTAGATAAAAAAGACTCCATTTCTTGAAAGGAGATTTATTTAAGCAACTGGTGAATTTGGGGTTGAATTTTAGTGACAAATACACAAAAAACAAAACAAACAAAAAACAAGACTCACAAGAACTTCAGGGAAAACAAAACCTGATGCAGGAAAGGAAAAGTAATCCCATCACACCATTTGCCTAGCTGTGAACGGCACTATGGAGTCATAACATGAACACTAAATACTAGACTAACCGAACTACAGGTGCACGTGCTTTAGGCAGCCATGTATTTGCGTGGGGAAGGCAGAGCGGTAAAAGAAAACTAGGAACTTCACATCCATTCTCAGAGTCAAAGTGAGGAGGCAGGGCGTACAACAAGGGAGGAAAGCGAGGAAGCGGCAGGAGAGCACATGTGCTGTTCAGCGCCGGAGGCAAAGAGGTGGACATGTGTGCTTCGCAGGAAAGGAAACATGACTGGGGAAGGAAATTCAGTGTCTCCGTACAAGCCTTCTACATATATTACTCCTTTAAAAAACTACTTGAAGATACAGCCTTGACTTGAAATAAAATTTTCAATTTAAAAATTCAAATGAATGCCAATAAAATGTATTGAGAGAGTGCACATGGTCAACGTATCGTTATTAAATTAATGGCAAGCATCAAGATGACCAACACAACATGATGCCCAGACAGGTCTGGGACAACACGTCTGGCTGGTCTCCAGCAGTATTTGAGGAATTTTAGCATGCCTGGTGAAACAGCCTACTAGGGATATCACTTCTAAAACGCCTGACTCTAGAAATACAAAACAGGGGCGCCTGGGTGGCTCAGTCGTTGGGCGTCTGCCTTCGGCTCGGGTCATGATCCCAGGGTCCTGGGATCGAGCCCTGCATCGGGCTCCCTGCTCCGCGGGAAGCCTGCTTCTCCCTCTCCCTCTGCCCATGCTCGTGTTCCCTCTCTAGCTGTCTCTCTAATAAATAAAAAAAAAAAAAAAAGAAAGAAAGAAATACAAAACAAACAAACAAAAAAAAACAACTTACTTTAGCACAAAGTAACTTGTGTAATCAATTTTTAAAATGTCATAAAGATGAAAAGAGTTTGTTTTTCAAATGTTGAGTGTTGTGTTGCTTTCATAACTTAAGGGAAAAGGCATTTTGACACACTGATGCTCTCTGGCTATTGTTCCACTTGGCCAAAAACTTTTCAATATGCATGCTGGACCTCTTGCCACTGTAGCTTGACAACTAAGAAGTCAGTTGTGTGCGGTTTCCTCCAGGAGCTTAGTTATTTCTTAATAGGAAAGGGAAAAAGGCTTCCTATGATCACTAGCCCTGCCGGGATGGATGTATGCTGAATGGGCCTCATCAAATATAACTACACTTCAAGAAGTGTGTTCTCTGCTCAGACACTTTTAGTAAATAAACAAGTTTTGGTTGGGAAGCATTAATGGAGAATCTATCTCATCCACTTGTGACTAACGCTCGTAAGTCATCCAGGTGGACAGTGTAATAATCACTTGAAACCCTGTCCAAGTTAGAGCATCCTAGACAGGACTGACAGAAGGGCATGAAGGCCTTCAGAACAGGACCTGAGTGAAGCCCTCCACCATTGAGATGTTAGCCGTATACCAAATTCTCAACTTCTTGCCCATTTGTGTCACCAGCTACGGCTGTCATGCATTCCCTTGGCATAAGCTAGTCCTGCTGTTTAGAACACCCCATTCTGGTAAAACCCTTACTCATCCTCTAAATCCAGTTCAAGAACCACATTCTTTGTAAAAACTTTACAACAGGTAATTAGCACCTCCTATCTCCATACTTTGTACGTATTCCCACTGCTGCACTCAAAACACTGTCATCTAATTATTTTACGAGTGAATACCCCATACTAGACCATAAGCTGCTTAAGGAAAAGGAAAAAAGTCTACATCCTCTTGACCTTTCCATCCCTAGAATCCTTAAGAGTGTCTGGCACACAATTCCCAATAAACGTTTCTGAACTGAGCTGCTGAAGAAGTGAAGGCATGAGGCCAAAGTCAGACAATCAGAAGCCCCAAACAAGAGGACCAAAGGAAAAATCACAACTTGGCGATTCAAGAGGACATTCCCCCATCGGGCTTGGGAAACGTCAGCCTGGCCCACGGGGGAGGGCCCGCGCCGGACATGCGCCGGTGCCGGCCCCGGGGGCGCCCAGGGGCGTGGGCTGACCGCGCCTCGGGAGTGCTCTCCTTACTCTCCGCAATCTACGGCGCTGACGTTAACCTGACCGGAGAAAATGAGGAAAGCCCCCGAACGGTGCCCGGCGCGCAGAAGAACTGCGGGAAGTTACGGGAAGTTTGATCCTCACTGAAGAGGCTTTCAATGGCTTTCAAATGTCGTCCCTCGGGACTTGAGGCGGTGTGCTCCGTTTCCTCCCAGCCTAAGTCTCAGGACAGGCTGACGGCTGGTGTTTCAGAGCCGGCGGGCGGGGAGCTCCAACGCCGGGACCCGTTCTTCACCAAACACCTTTTCGACTACTTTACAACACCGCTTCCAAATGTACTTAACGCGGCTAGCCCGCGGGTGCTTCTTGCTCAAAAGCATCAAGCCCTAAACCTCAGCACGGGGTCTGCGTCAGGTCTGACTCCACAGAGCGACATCAAGCTCACTCTGCGTGGAGCACGGCCGGCTGCGGCAGACAGAAGCCGAACCGTGACGTGCCCTACCTTCGTCCCCGCGGGCCCGAGACTGACCGTCCGGAGGCGGGCGCCGGGCCACCGGGACGTCCACTCCCCTGCGCGCCTTCAGAGCGCCCACCTGCCCACGAGCAGGGCTCGGTGGCAGTGCACGGGGACATGCTGCCTTTGGACGTACAGGGGGCCCAAGCCCTCTCGTTTCCCGAGGCGGACGCCCCGAAGACCTAGCCACCTTTCCAACGCCCTCTCGGTGCCCCCAGTGCTCCCCACACGACGCCCTCGCCCAGCAGAGCCTTGAGAACTGAGTTCACGTTCAGCCGGGGGTCTTCCACAAACGCTCCCCGCACGACGGCACTGGCCATCGCGCCGCTGCGGGCCTGCAGGCCGCCGGGAGGGAGAAAGGACGCCCGGGCCGGCGCAGCCCCGCGCCCGTCCCCGAGGCAGGTCGCCGCGGCTGGCTCGGGGACGCTCCCCGGGTCTCACCTCGCGACCAGCCCGCAAGGAGACAGCGAGGGGCCGCGCCCGCCCCGCCCTCCCCTGGGGCGCAGGCCCCAGCCCGGGCGCACTACGGCCACGTCCCCGGGGACGGGCGCCCAACTCGATGGTCCGCGCACAGGCCCGCCGGCTCACGTGACCCGCGGCGGCCAATGGAGACGAAGCCCCCGCACCATCGAGATGACGGCGGCCCGGGGCTAGAGCAACCCCGCTCGGCCGCTCGCCGTCCCCTCCACAGCCCTGCTCCAGCTCCCCCAGCTCGGTGCTGCCGCCATCTTCCTGGAGGAGAGGACCGGAGGCGAAGGCTCCCGGCCCGCGGTCGCTCCGCACTCTTACCGTGACCTGTCCTACCCCGTCCGCCTCTCTTCTTCTCAGCGGTCACTTAGCTCCTTGTAAAGAAACGCACTTCATCCCACTCTACGTACCCACAAAGCAAAACTCACATTACCTGTTCCACTCTTACCAGCGTAAGGAAACCAAGCTCATAAGGTAGGAACTGTGGCGAAACAGGGACAAGCCGCCATCTTGGTAAAGGAGAAGAGGCTACGCTTGACCTCCCCCCCCACCCCCAGCCTCTATATGGCCAACCGCCGTGGGAGGGGCACGGCGCCTGCGCAGAGGCGGAAGACGCGGACGAGACCGCGCTTGCGCACTCGGAAGCCAGCGAATGGGGGAGGGGAGGAAGGCCAGGTCGCGCCAGGGCGAGGAAAGCGTTGGCAAGGGGGCGGATCGACGTGATGACACCATCCGCGCACTGGGCGGGGCAGGGCGGGGCGCGAGCGGACGTCGGGCACTGGGCGGGTCCGCGGCGCGGTCGGTAGGCGCCCGTTCCTCGGCTCGTCGGCGGTGAGTTCCTCGCCGTGAGTCCCCGCCGTCGCGGGGAGCGCGAGCTGCAGACCGACGCAGAAGGGGCGGGGGTCCGCTCGCGGCGGGCGGTCGGCCGGCTCCGGGGGCGTGCGGGTGGGGCGGCTTGCTTGGTGTGGGGGAGGGGCGGCAGGCCCGGGGTCCCCGGCCCGCCTCCGCCCCGGGGTCCCGGGCCCGCCCCGGGCCCTCACGGCGGGACGTGTGCCGAAAGAATCCGAGTGACCCCCCGCCGTCCCTGTGCGAACTACGAGGGACAGCCTCGGTGCTGGGCCTGGGGCGCCCGCCATGCCCTGGAGGTCGTGGTTGGGGAGGGAAAGCCCAGGTTGCGGCCTGTGGGGTGTCCCGTCGTCGCCCCGACCTGGGCCATTCCACCCCGCTGTCCTTTGGCCGATAGTAGCCCTAACAAGCCCTTGTCGTCTTGGTAAGTTCCCAGGCTCTTCCTGGCCGCAGACGAAGCAGGGGAGAGGAGGAGGCGGCGGCCCCTGCCGGTGCACGGCCTAGTCCGGAAGGATGGGGGGTGGGGGGCCACCGTGCCCGTGAAGGCCTGACGTGAAGCCGACCTGCGGCCACCTTTGCTCAGTAAAGCCCCCGCTCGGTGGCCGCAGGACCCACAAGACCTGGCCGCCTTTACGTTTTTGGCCTCATTTTTGTCAGTACCACCCCTACCTTGTCTGTCCTTCCTCCACACGTAGGACCGAACTTGCAGTTCAAACTGCTGGGTCTTTGTCGTCTTTGTTCTTGGCCCAAACCCTTCTTTCTGTTTGAAACCCAGTTAGCTCCCCACCTTCCCTGTTTTTTCGTGTCTGGTCCCTCCTCTGTTGTTCAGGATTCGGCCCAGAATAGATTTCCTCTGGCTGGATTAGGTGTGCGCCTGATGTCGGCCCTAATTGTTCCCTCTGGTAGCTGTCTACTGGACTGTTAGTCTTTTGAGGGGGAAGAGATGTGTGAGTCTTGTCACCTTTACCCATTGTCTAGCACAGTGATCAGCACATAGTAGGTTATCAAATTTTTCTTTAACAACCCCAATCATAATGCCTCAAGATAAATTTAATGTTCCGAAACAACCTTGCCATCCTAATAAGAGATACAGTGCAGTGTAGAGGTCCCAAAAGCTGTGTCCTAGTGTTTGTAATTTGAGGTTCATTATTTTCAGTTTTGGTAGCTCCCACTTAGGCTTTCTTTGTACCACCCAGTACCCTAACTCACAATGTGTACTGCTCTGTCAAATCTTGGCAGTAATTGTCTCAGCTGTGAAGTTGATCCTGACACTTTTTCCCATTTTCCACTTTGATCTCTCACCTGGCACAGCACCCTAGGGTGAAGAACAAGGGATTCTCAATCTGATCAGATTTGCATTGACTGCTTTTGAGCTAGCAGGGTGACCTAGGGAAATGGGAGGAGGGAAGGGGATGAGACTGCCCTCTGTCATCATTCGTAAATGTGATTCAGGTCCCCCCCCCTTTTATTTTTTTAAAGATTTTATTTATTTGACAGAGACACAGCAAGAGAGGGAACACAAGCAGGGGGAGTGGGAGAGGGAGAAGCAGGCTTCCCGACGAGCAGGGAGCCCGATGCGGGGCTCGATCGCAGGACCCGGGGATCATGACCTGGGCCGAAGGCAGACGCTTACCGACTGAGCCACCAAGTCGCCCCTCAGGTCCCCTTTTATACCCAACTCCTTTTTATATCTGAAGACAGAAACTGCTGAAAAAGAAAAGAGAAGGGGACTTCAGAACTCATTCGGCAGCAGATTTGGGATGAAGCCATTTTATATTCTGTATTTATACTTTGTGCTAATGGTCATATATGTCACTATAGAAAATACATTTGATTGTGGGGTGTGCTGCCCAGGTAGCCATTGAGGAGGTTGTGTTGTGTAGTGTATGTACCTTCCTCAAATCCAAAGAATGCCGAATGTCTCGAGCTCTGGATAAGGGATTATGGACATTTGGGGTTTTACACAGCAGTGTCATTTTGTGTGGGGGGGGGTAATGTATGTAAATAGAAGAATAGCATGTCTATGATTGGTAGTCAGGAGCAATCCACTAGTGTTAATATCACTAGCAAAATAAATTTATATGTATGGCCAAGAATCTAGTTTTACCCATCTGTTTTTCATCTTTTGTTTGGGGAAAGTTGCTTTGTTTTATGTGAATTGGGATGGGAGTATTGCTCGGTGGAAGAAGGAAGCCATGTTCAAGTAAAGGCAAATGTTTAAACAATTGCTAGCATCTATGATGAGCACAACCGGAAAGAATAAAATTTTTATTTGACTACATTGAGTTAGGGGGATCCAAATGGTCTGTGGTCATGGTTTAAATTAATCACAGTGCTTGGCGTCCTGTGTTGTTTGATCAAGGCTTTTTCACTGAAAACCAGGTGCTTCAAAAGTTCCACGTTCCTCTTGCAATTTTCATTTTACAGTAGGCAGCTAATAACTTATATTGTTAGAAAATCGTAGTGGATCCAAATTATATTTCAGGAAAAAAACTGAGTATGAAAGAAATAGCATATTGCAAGAAAAACTTGCTAAATTAAAGAATTCATAGCTTGGGGACGCCTGGGTGGCTCAGTCGTTAAGCGTCTGCCTTTAAGCATCTGCCTTCGGCTCAGGTCATGATTCCAGGGTTCTGGGATCAAGCCCCACATCGGGCTCCCCACTCCGCGGGAAGCCTGCTTCTCCCTCTCCCACTCCCCCTGCTTGTGTTCCCTCTCTCTCTGTCTCTCTCTGTCAAGTAAATAAAATCTTAAAAAAAAAAGAAAATTCGTAGCCTGTTCCAATAACGGTATTCTCCATTTTCCTACATGTGGGCATCCAGATAGGTCTCCCTGACTTACTTCCAGCAGGAAACTGATAGGGAGCAGTGAAAGCTCCCCTTCTCTCCTATGGAACATCCTCAGTCCTGCTTAACAGGATAAGGTGAACACAAGTGGGCTCGAGGTACAGCATTCTCAGGGTGCTCAGATGAAGTTGGTCAGAACCCACGCAGGGGCCCAGGGTTCCCTGAGGAGAAGCAAGTCTGTGGATGTTCAGGAGAGACCTCCATGACAGTCCTATGTCCTATTGGGTTGGTTTGAAATAAGATACATGTGATAGCTTCTAAGGCAAGTGCCCACTCCTTTATTCTTCCATGTGAGCTTGAAGGTCACTTTATCCCCTTTAAGAAAAAACCCACGTTAGGATTCCATCTAGGGTTGGACCACGTTTATATACTAATTTGGGAGAAATAAAAATGATTTGACTCACCTAGGCCCTGTTTTTTCTAAATTTGTTCTTAAATGCTTGGTTGCTTTCTGTTTTACTTCGGTTGTAAATGACATTTCACCCCTATTTCCATTCCTTTATATTCATTACTAGTACAGAAAGGAATTATTTTGTATCTGGCTTGTATCCAGCCACCTTACTAAATTACCTTATTCTAGATTTTTTTTTTTTTAAAGATTTATTTATTTGAATGGGGGGAGGGGCAGAGAGAATCTTGGGCAGACTCTCCGCTGAGCACAGAGCCAGAAGTAGGGCTTGATCCCATGACCCGGAGATCATGACCTGAACCGAAGTCAAGAGTCGGAGGCTCGACTGACTCAGCCACCCTGGCGCCCCTAGAATTTTTTTTTAACTGAACCATTTGTGTTTTCTGTGTATTCAGTCTTTTTTTTTTTTTTTTTAAAGATTTTATTTATTTGACAGAGAGAGATACAGCGAGAGAGGGAACACAAGCAGCGGGAGTGGGAGAGGGAGAAGCAGGCTTCCCGCGGAGCAGGGAGCCCAATGCGGGGCTCGATCCCAGCACCCTGGGATCATGACCTGAGCCGAAGGCAGACGCTTAACGACTGAGCCACCCAGGCACCCTGTGTATTCAGTCTTAACAGTGAAAAAACTTTTGTATTTTTTTCATTTTGTTGTTTGACTGAATTTTATGGTGAGATTGCAATATGAAGATCTTGTTTGGATCTTAATTCAAATGAACAACGAAAAAATGAGACAATCAGAGAATAAGTGTTTTAAAATAATTACAGTAGTAATGGGCATCCCTGCCTAATTAGTGATTGTAATTTAAATAGATTTAGTATTCCATTGTTGAGGGAATAACATTTGCCATTGGTGTTCGGGAATACCCTGGGTTATATTTAAGCAGTTTCCTTAGTGTTTTTATTAGAGGTGGTTGCTAATTTTATCATATGTCTCTTCAGCATTCATATAGGATTATCTTCTTTAATTTGTTGGAATGGCTTTATGTAGATAGATGTTTTTGGTATATTTCTGGAACCTAATTGCTAACAAATATTTCACTGAGAATTTTTGCCGTTTATATTCATGAGTGAGATTGACATACCGCTATCTAGCAAGCTTTCTTAGGTTTCTCTCTGGGTTTGTTGTTAAAAGTTGTAGTTTCTTCATAAAATAAATTGGAGTGCTTTCCCTTTTTCTGTTCTGGCTTAAGTGACATGGGTGTTACCTGTTCAGGGTCGGATGGGCCGCAGCTCTAATTCCGTCTGTCTTGGTCCCTTCTTCACTGGTAGATTTGATTCATCTGTTCAGTGGTATTTGTTCTCGTCAGTGTCTAGGAAATCATCCATTGCTTCCAGATTTTCAGATCTGTGGCCATCTTGATACATGAGTCTGTGTTTATACAGAGTCTGTGTTTATACCTTCTTTTCTATATTTGCTTTTTCCCCCCCTTAATGGGACTTGTGAGGAATTTGTTTCAAAGAACTAGCTTTTGGATCTATTTATCCTTCTATTGAGTTACTTTATTTCTCAATAATGTGAGAGCCA